GCTTCTCTCTTTCACCAACACAAGCTTCTCCAATAAAAAATTACCTCACCTGCCTTGTGTAAGATATACCAACACATTTGTATGAATAAGAAACTAGTTTAAATATGGATTTTTACCTGGAAGTTTTATTCTTACATTGAAGATTATTGAAGATTATTCTTTATATTTGAGGGATAAGTTGAAGTTCCTATATTGTATCAAATTTTTTTTACATAACAGCCATAGAGATATTCAAGTTCAGAATGCTATGGAAGCTCTGTAGTAAGTCACTTTAGAAGGATGCAGATTAGATTTTTTTTCCTAAGAGATCTGCTCTAGTTCAAACAGGAACTAATTCAAAGGAGTGTCCACAATAAAAAAGTGCATTTGTAATTCTGCAGGTGATTCTTACCTAAACAAGGGACAAGTAAACTTCAGCGGCCTTGTTCTGTAGCCATTTTTAGAGCCCAAGGAATGGCTTCTTCCCACTTGGCTTGGATGCAGAGGCGTAACCATCTGAAAAATGTAGTTAAACATGAATGTCACCTCCAAGTTGGCTGCCCATTTTTGTTTGTAGCAGTTTTCAAATTCATGATCTCCCTCTACTAATATCCAATATAGTGTTCCCTAACTGCACCCTAAGAATGAAGGGGTCATGCTACCATACATGCAACATGACATTCAGATACTAAGTACTTGAAGTTCATAATGAAGTTGAACTGGGTTTCTGGGTTTTCCCACACTGGCTTGTGCAATTATTTCTCATATAATGATGTATTTATTTATATTATGGTAATACCCAGAGGCACTGATCGGGGCCCCATTATGCAGGATGCACAATGTATTTGGGGGTCATCACTACATATGAATAAGTGGCTATTTGAATAAGCTCATCTTTCTTTATAAACATAAAAATAAAGGAAAAGTAACAAAACTCAATATAATTATATGATTTGGGAACTACAGTCTAAACTTAAACAATATAGGTTTTGTCAATGGTAAGTAGCAAAATATTACAGTACACTGAGACAACACATGAGAAACTTAACCATTAAAACACTTTGTGGCAAGCTTGTTACAATGACAAAATAGGCAATTTCACCAATTTTAAAAAATTAAATTATAATACCCTCTCAATAATAAATATGTGTCTGAGTTCCAACAACATTATTAGGGGGTACAGACATATTTAAAGGATGTATAAATACAAGATACAGAGGAATTAAGGGTGAGAGTTATAAACTAGAATTAATGGGATGAAAGGACGTTTTTTCTCTGATACTTTTCCTAAATTTCAATTTTTATTTAATTTACTTTAAAAGGAGAGTGTGACCCTTGTGGGGGAAGCCACATTTATAATTAAAGTGAATAAAGCATTAGGACTGTACTGCAGGGAACAGTCACATTGGAAGGGGAATAGACTAGATGACCTCGGTATTATCAAGGTGTATCTGATTCTCAGACAGGCTTACATTTTCCCATTTCATCATTAATTAGTATGTAGGAATATTGTACGTGTAAAAATTACATTTACCAGAAGTCATTACTATTTTGTGTGTGGCCTTTTACATTTTAGTAGAATGGAACTTCTCAGATTGTGTATAAGGTAGTATTTTCCCTTATGAAACACTTTTCATGAAGCAATTTCCATACTATTACTAACCTGAATCTTATTTCAGAATTGTTTACAGCATTGAAGTTATAAACTTCCTGCATTCGATTTACATATGACACTGGAAGTGGTGCCTAGAAAGAGTTGCAAAGTTAGAAGGATGAGGAAGAGGTATACTTCAATACCATGTTCTCTGAGAGGAGGCAAGACCTAGAAAGAAGACTTTCACTACAAGGGAGAGAATATTTAACAAAAAACTGATGGCTACTGATAAGTACTTGCACATTCACTCCCTTTGTTCCACTCCACCTAATTAAGGAAGGAGCAAGGGATAATATGGTAGTTACTAAGGCCTGGTCCACACTACAAACTTAGGTCAATGGAAGCCACCTTACGTAGACCTAATAACGTATGCGTGTATGTAGGAGCAGGATTTTATAAATGTACTACAAAAATAAATGTATGATTTGATTTTATCCTGTCAGCCACCCTTTTTGAATAGTAGAAAGGAATGACAGACCAGAACAATTCTTGTGACTGATTATGGTCACCCTTTTGTTTTAGGATAAGTTATAATGTCTACTATGGTTTCCTATATGTATTACAAATTAGGCACTCTAATGAAATATACATTTCTTTGTTTTAAGGTTTAGAAAGTAAGAGACAGGATCTTGTATTGTGTCTAAGTTAAGGAGATTAGAGGACTGTTGAGGGCCTGAAGCCCCAATGTGAATTGTTTTAGTTATAAAATTTAGCAAGGCTTGATTTACAATGTATTCTGCTGAATATAAAATACTGCTTTCTGTATACTTTTGAAGGTTTCTGTAAAAGATTGTTTGTGTGAATGAGGAATGCATGCATCAGGAAAAGATAAGGTGCGAAAGCCATCACAAATGTCCAAATGATCAAGAAAAAGTGAGAGACTTGAAAAAACCAGGAGACAATCAAAAAACCTCCATTGTATCTGATGCTAAACATGTTAGCAGCATTGACGACCTCACAGGTAAAGCAGGCACCCCCAAAGGCGAGACAACAAATAGGAGATAACGATCAGAAGCCCGATAATAACCATCAAATTAACACCACTTAAGGACTAATGATTACAGGATGACATTGCAAAATGCATAGACTCAAATGGGAATTTACAACTATAAAGCTGGGATGTTTTGCCATGGAACTCTGGGTTCAGTCCTGCAAAGCCTCGGAGCACCGGATCGCGACCGACAAGAGCCCAGCTCCTCACTTGTGCTCAATCTAACTGGCCATTACAACAGACTGGTAACTATAAATATCAACTGGCAGGAGAATGTGTGTGTGTGTGTGACTAAAAAGCATATGCTAACTGTTGTATTTTCAATAAATGCAGTGTTTTTGCCTTCTCCTCTATAAAGATCCCTTGTGCTTTGTATAGCACAACATTTTTGGTGGAGAATTGCGAAAGGGGGAAGAGTATAAGCGCTGTAATTATTGACAATATTGCTAAGTGATTGATCATTCAGGTGTGCACACCCCCGGGCAGTAAAAAGGGAACCAGGTATGGTTAATATTGTATTCACCGTTGGTATTTTATGAATTGAGAATTTGTTATGATTAAAGCTATACACACCCTCAGTCGTAGCAGGGCTGAGAGACAGGAGAGAGGGTTAGCATCCCTCTCTCCATCCCGGACTGCTGGGGGGAAATAACTGAAGGTGGGTATACCCCCGGTCGTAGAAGTGCCGGGCAATAGGGGGAGGATTAGAGTCTTCGCTCCGACCCGTCTGTTGGGAAAAAACTATAGGTGCATACACCCTTGGCCATAGCATGACTGAGCATAAGAGGAGAACTTAGGGTTTCTCGCTCTGCCCCTGGGAGGGGTTTTTATATTTGGTGTATGAACCCTTGGTGGTAGAAGGCCAAGCAATACAGAGGGAAGTTTAGCATCTCTCCAGCTGGCCCAGAGTGGGTTAAAATCATAAGCCCCGGCACGGGCAAACATAAGATACAGATCTTGTTCTGTTAAACCAAACTCTGAAGGATATAGGAGTTTGGGCAGTGTAGTATTTTTTGTGAGTGATATTGTGATAATTTCACAATTTTGAAAGAAATGTTTAAGGAAAGGGACCAGGAAGGGTGGCAGTTAGTTAAGGAGCCCACCCCCCTTGCTAAATTGGTAGTGGAACAAAGCTTGTGCCCATGGAAAGGAACAGTTCATTGGAAAAAGCAGGATCGGGCCCAGACAAGCAGGCAAGCAAACAGATAGAGAAATTGAAAAACAGGTTGGAAGCCCTAAGGGCATAGTGGCAGGAGTAAAAAAAGCAGTAAGTGCAGGCATGAATCCCTGGGACAATACTTAAAATGGTGAAATCTGAATTGATCAAGGTGTCGTTTTGGGAGATAAACAAGTGATTTAAGAAAAGTTAACTCTACAGAGTCTGGAAAGAATTAAGCAGTTAAATTTTGTGAAAATGTTAAAAAGGACCATGTTAAAGAGAAAAAGAATTCTTGGTTTCTTTGCAGCCATTCTGAAGGAAAAATGGGCCCTTTTCCAAAGGAATGTCTGTAAATAATCTAGGTAAAGAGACTATCTGATTGAAATCATTTGACTATGGACAATTTAGTCAAATTTGCTAAAAGAACACAAGGGGGGGTTCTACTGGAACTTAACTGCCCCAAATGTATGAAGGGAATGTAATCTATGTACAGCTATGTAAAAACAGAGCAGTGTAGAAGGGATGTTAAGGAAAAGAAAATGTGTATGTGTCTGTCTGTCTGTGGAAATATGTGAGGTTCTAAGGACCTAAACAAACCACATCTGGTTTGTAAAACTCCTGTTTTGTAGGTTTAAGATAAATTGGTTTGGTTTTTAATAATGCCACTAAAAATCCATTTGACTCTTTAATTCAAAGTTGCAAAACTGACAGACCTTTTTGCCAGACACAGGTAATCAGTGTTGTTTGGCTTTGGGATTTGGCATTTAACCCTTAAGGGGTAACTTGATTCTTTACAAAATTTAAAATGTTTTTAAAGAAAGACCAAGTCGTGGCTGCAGCAGGGCAGTCAAAATCAGCAGAATAGGGAGAGATTCTGGAGGCTGGGAGGTCTGCTGCCACCACTGTGACTAGGAAACGTAGAATAGTGGTGCTTGGAAACTCTCTACTGAGGGGGACGGAGGCACCCATCTGTCGCCCTGACATTTCATCTT